CATTGCCACCACCAGGACTCTGTAAAGAGTCAAGATCGTGAACCCCCTTCAGCAGTGTGTTATGAATAGGCACCCAGCCTGCTCAGGCCTGCCAGGCCCTGCCCATGGGACCCTGGGGCAGGCTTCTCACCTGAAGGTGGAAACAAGGGGCTGCTGCACTTGTCCTCATTGCTACCCGTGCAGTCTCTCCATGTGTCACACATCCACTGCAGACTCTTACACCCTCCATCCTCACAGGAGGACTCTCTGGGCCCACAGGGTTCTGTAGACACAGGGGGAATGGCAGTGCCCAGGGATATTCCCACCCACTCCCCCCCCCCACTGCCTTCATGGTGCCCTGACCAGGGTCCAGAGCACTTTCCCGTTCTCCTGGAGACACCTCTGCTGCCCACACCCATTTGCCCAAGGGCACCTACTCTCTGTGTCATTGAGGGCCTGGTAGGTGGCTGAGAAGCCCCTGCTGTTGATACGACGATCTGTCCTAAACAGCACAGCCAGTTGGTGGTGTGAGGAGATGAGGCGAGGGGGTGGCTCTGCTCCACAGAACCTGCCCAAAGCAGAGAGCAGTCCTGGGCATAGGGCCCCTTGGCTGGCCAGGTGCACTGAGCCCGCACACAGGCCTCACTTGGAGCTGGGTGCTCTGGGCATTGCCAGAGGGGATGGGAGGCATAGGTGCTGAGTCATGAAAATTAGGCGCTGGTGAGGAAGACACACATATTCAATAGACAAAGTGTTAAACAAACTGCTTGAACTGGAGCCACTTTGAAATGGGAAAAATCAGTGAGTATTCCTGAGTGAAGTGGAAATGGATCTGCAGGTGGGAGAACTGGAAGAGGGAGGGGACTGGGAAAGGGTCTCCTGGAGAAAGGCGATGTAAGGAGCAAAGGATTTGAGATGAGAAAGGACACGCCTTTTCTAGGGTGACAGTGAAGCGATCTCTGACTTAGAGTAGCTGAACAAAATGAAGCCGAGGAATATTGTAAGTTGGGCTAATTTGTAGGAAGCTGTTACTGTCAGACTATGGAGGTTGGAGTTGATCCTTGCCTCCTCCCCTGGGTCTGCCAATACCTGCCCAGGAGGCCAAGGGCTCCTGAGTTGCTGGTCTCATACACCTCCACGTAGTCAAACTTGCACACATCCTGAGCTTCCAGGCTGAAGTTGTGGAACTGTAGTTCTATGCCATGTCCAGCAGGCACTGAGATATGCCAGGTGCAAAGCTGGGGGGAGGGTACAGATGGCGTAATTCACAGGTTCCTTCTGTCCCAATCTGGGCATCCAGGCTGAGTACCAGAGGGATTTCCTTCCTGCAGTTAGGTTCCTCCTTAACCTTAGGCAGGGAGTGGATGGGCGCTGCTCACCTACCTCTCATCATAGGTGTTTTTTCAGAAAGGGAGGGTCTTTTAACTTGTCTGGTCTCAGATAAGTTTACGGAGCACGGGAACATCTGAGTATGTAGTAGGCCCTCAATAATCTTCCCTTCCTGTCTGCTTGATCTCTGACTTTCCCAAGTACAAGGCAGTGTCTACCATGCTGTTCCCAATCACACTAACCGGGTGCTCAGGTATGCCTATGGGTGCTACACTACCCTTCCCCAAGGAGCGCTGGCTTACCTGTTGGTGAGGATATTCCAGCAGGTAGCTCGGAGCAGAGAAAGTGCCCTGGAGCCCAGTCAGATTTCCCCCACATCCTGTAGAGAGGAGAAGGGGCTCATGAATTGGCCAGGGTCTGTGCCTTTGCCCAATAGTATAAGCAGTGAGTTCAGAGGAGAGTTTTGGCCATGTCCCTGGGGAAACACGTTCTGGGCCAGAAGAAAGACCAGCCAGGTTTGGGGCTGGGCCAGAGCTAGGGAGCCCAGCCTGAACCTGGATCAGATGCCTGAAGACAACACCCACTCTGAGGCTGGTGGGGCCCATACCCGAGAACTGGGCACTGCAGTTGGTCTCGTCACTGCCATCAGCACAGTTGGAAAAACCATCACACACTGAGTCAGGTAGCAGGCAGATGAGATGGTCACAGGGGAACTCGTCATGGGCACAGCTCCCTGGGGGGTGGTGTGGTGAATTCAGAAA